AAAAAACACCGATGAAATCGGACAAGCATCAAAGATATTTATCAATTATGACAGAGTATATCACAGATGTACAATATATAAGAGGAGATGAAAATATCGTTGCTGATTGTCTATCTCGACCCACATTTTCGGTGACCGTAGACCCCTGTGATCTACCAGCTATCAGTGAGTCACAAAGAGAGGATGAAGAAATCGACACATACAGGAGCCGACTTAAAGCCTTTGAGTTGCAAGGGTCATCCGTCTGGTGCGACCTATCAACATCTACTCCCAGACCATACATACCTGAGCCACTTCGTAGGAGAATCGTCGACATGTTCCATGACATCTCCCATCCAGGACCCACGCCAACAACAAAACTGATTAAAGCTAGGTACTTCTGGCCAGAAATGGAGAAAAACATACGATCTTGGGTCAAGAGCTGTCTACGATGCCAACAGTCCAAGATTTCCAGACACACTAGAACAGAAACTACACCTTTTTCTCTGCCATCAGGAAGATTTGAAACCGTGCATATAGACATCATTGGTCCTCTGTTACCCACCACCACTTATGACGGCGTATACACATCTCCAGCTAGATATGTCCTTACGTGCATTGATAGAGCAACGAGATGGGTAGAAGCTACACCTCTCCAAGACACCTCCATCACCACCATAGCATTAGCGTTCCTGCATACATGGATCTCTCGTTTTGGAGTCCCATTACATGTTGTCACCGATAGGGGAAGTCAATTTGAAAGTGAACTGTTTAGGGACCTATCTGCTATAATAGGTTTCCACAGGCTCCGTACAACGGCTTACCACCCTCAAACCAATGGAATAATCGAAAGGTTACACCGTACTCTTAAAACAGCAATCATGACAAGAAAGCAGAGCTGGTTGGATGCATTGCCAATTATATTGCTTGGTATTAGGAATATGCCTAATGAGCAAGGTTTCTCCCCAGCCACTGCTGTCACAGGAACCCAGTTATTACTTCCAAAACCAATAATTGACCAGGAGTATCCTGACTTGTCCAAAAATGACATAAAAAAAATTGCCAAAGAGATGCAAGAGTTGGATATAACCCTCCTTTCAGAAGGACAGCTACATACAACTCAAAAAATCTTTTTATACCTAAAGAACTAAAACAGCAACGCATGTATGGCTGCGAACTGACAGGATTAGAAAAACCTCTGAAGCTCCATATTCAGGGCCTTACAGAGTAATAAAAAAAAAGAAAAAAATATTTTATCATTGAGACATTGGCTGGTGATGAACAAACGGTTTCAATTGAGCGATTGAAGCCAGCAATATTCGTCAATGCCCCCAAAAAGAATGAAAACAAAAAACACAGCCTAATAGACAACACGTCATCACCAACACCTGAAACGCAGCAAAACTTACCACAGGAACCAATCGTCACCCGCTCGGGTAGACGTGTACGTTTTACAAGAAACAATGACCATTTCTACTACACATAAAATACACACATAAACAAAATTGTATGTACATTGAAAAGAAGAACATACACACACGCACCTTATAACAGACTAACTTTGCCTTAAATGCATCCTTACTGTAGCTCCGCTACATCGGGTAGGGATGTGTTGTGGGAATAAAATAAAATACAAAATTAAATAAAAGTATAAAAATAATAAAATAAACATTAAAATCTCCCAAGAGTCCTCTGACAGGAAAGACAAATTACGCAGGTGCAAAAATAAAGAATAAAAGAGCAGACGTTTTTTTTAAAAGAGAGACGCTTAAAAAGAGCAGACGCTTAAAAGAAGAAACGCTGGGGCTTTTTCTGTTGGACCATTGACTGGTGAATACGTACCAACTGTTTTGGGAGGAAATTCCCCAACAAGAGGTCGTTGAATCCAATAGAAAGAAATAAAATCAGTCCTAAACAGTCCCTCCATTGTCTCCGTATCCTTCCGTCTTTTCTCTATCTATTTATTTCAGCAACAGAGGAAATTCAACGAGTTTTTAGGTGAAATAATCAATCCAGCACTAATAGCCGTAACATCCATAATATATATATATATATATATATATATATATTGTTGAAATGTCCTGACGAGTGAACCGAATGAATTACAAAAGTTTTATCTACGAAACTCTGGAGTCGATTTCCTGAATATAACACCAGTCATTTAAGTGGTACATTTTTATTTGTATTATATATGGGTGGTTAATGCAATATATATATATATATATATATATACACCCACAGACACACACACACACATATATATATAAATATGGGGGGTTAATAAAAAAAATGTGTGCCATTTAAACGATTGATGTTATATATTATATATATATATATATATATATGAAAATTTCTCCGATATAACCGGTAGGGAAGACAATATTTATGAATAAAAATGACAATAGGAAAACTGATAATTGCTGACGCGTTTCGTCCAATGTGGACTTTATCAAAGCAAAATACGAAAATGAAATTAAATGAACAAAGTAACTAATAAAAACAAAAACAGAATGTACCTAGCAAATGGAATGTAGAGAAACGCTATTTTCATATTTTTTAACTGGAAAATAACGTCAACACAGATATAATGACAATATTCTTCACACGTGACAATCACTGACGTTATTCAGCAATTACCAGTTTTCCTATTGTCATTTTTATTCATAAATATATATATATATATATATATATATATATATATATGTATGCATGTATATATATATATATAACATATATATATGTATATATATATATATATTTATATAAATATATATATATATATGTATACATACATACATACATATATATATATATATATATATATATATATATATATATATATAATATATATATATATATAATTATATATATAATTATATATATATATATATATATATAATTATATATATACATATATATATATATATATATATATATATATAAATTATATATATATATATATATATATATATATATATATATATATATATATACGTGCGTGGGGGGGTACAAATATGAATGGGTCACTTAAATGATTGATGTCATATTCAGTACATCGACTCAGAGTTTCGTAGACAAACTTTTGTAATTCATGAAACAGACACCCGACAGGATGTTTTCCCAATCCCTACACTCTTGACCTCTTCAAGATAAAAAGCCTACCGTTATCTTTCATGGTATATATATATATATATATATATATATATATATATATATATATATATATATAATCTTCAACCAATTCACTTCTTAAGAGCCACTAAAGGCAGAGAATTATTTTGTGGTGTTGCATCACCATAAGAAAAGGTAACAATGTTATGCCAGTAAGATAACCGTAGGCCCTTATCTTAAATAGGCAAGATTGTATTGATTGGGAAAGCATCCTGTCGGGGGTCTGTTTCACAAAACAGCTTTTTCTTTGGAAGAAACTCTCTCAACGGAACTTCTTCCTTACTAATGAAATACGTAGTAAATTGGTATAATTCACCCCTGTGTACGTGGTATGACGGGTTCCACTTGAACGATCAAGGGTGATGGGACTAAGGAATGCATCGCCTTAGAACACATGCCATGGAAATAGCGATAGTGCAGTGACAGGCTCGAAACGTTTTGACTGTGAGGACAGTGGTTGTTGAGTAGAAAGTAATCCATCACCAAAAAAGCCATGTAGACGCGTCTGTAGTCCCTCAAGACATGAAAAACAGGAATGGAGAGCTCCAGGCCCGATATGGCGGCAATATTCCATTTTCTGGTGCATAAATTAGCAGTGTCCTTGGCATCGAATATAAGATCACTTACAAAGATTTTCAATTTCAGTCTGATGAGATCAGACACGGAATAAGTACAGTCAGTCTATGATATCTGGATAAACACTGGCCACATAGACGTCTCAACGTCGAATATAAGGGTATTTATTTCCATTAAAAGTTTCAGTGTTTTGGAGTCAGACGGTGGAAAAATACTGCAAGTCTTCGACGTCTGGGTAAACATTTGCCTGACAGAAAAATAAACGGCTCACAAAACTCTAGATACATTATTCAGATATTTCACATGAAGATTAGGATTTTAGAAACCATCAGATAGATTACGAAGGTAAGTAAGAAAAAGGAAAGTAAATTCTTTTTTTTTTTCTTTTTTGCGCAAGAAATAAGGAACACAGTTTTAAATGCAGTACATATAGCTATACATCACAGGTTCACTATCTGTCTATATCTCTGAGATGCGGTATTATGACTACTTGCATTATTTACATTATTCGGACTGTTATCCTCATCCTCAAGACCTTGGTTAGGTCCAGTGTACTAGACCCCAAAATTTGCGAAATCAATCCCTGGCCACAGCAGTGGTGAAGCATATCTTGGAGAACTGAGCTAAAGTGAAATAGGTGAGACATCCTGAAGAGGCATGGCACGTGGAACTAGAACAATTTACCCCCGTTGGACGATATAAAGGTTCCAGTTCGAAATTCCAATCATCTGAAGAAGGCCGGAGCGTACAACGGCCGAAACGTTGTGAATATGACAATGAATATGATGATAACAGTCCGAAGAATGCAAATTATGAAAGTAATCCCAGGTTCACACCCTTAGTCACATAGTCACCACATCTTCCAATGGCAGTGTTACACCTACGAATGAGGACAGGTAATCCCAGCTTTGTAAAACTCGGCTAGCTGCTGATGTAGTCATTTCTTTACAGCAGTTTTCACTTCTGCACCAGAAACTAATTTAGCACCCTCAGACGATCATCTCTTTGGACCCAGGAAAGAGGCCCTGATTGTAGGCCTAAACTCATGCCGTCGATATCAACAAGAAAGAAAACTCATCAGAGCAATTGCCATGAAAACGTTTATAGAAACTCAGATGGAAGTCACATCACGGTGGTTGCGGAATGGCTGAAGTCGAAATGTCAGATAAGGCTTGATTAAATTAGAGCCACTTCTTTGGATTTGGTAAAAAAAGAATCGCGAGATATATAGCAGGAGCACCAGGCCAGATACGGTAGTAATATTCAATGCATAATCAAATAGATAGATAGATAGATAGATAGATAGATAGATAGATAGATATGGAAGAGACTGGGATAGATAGATAGATAGATAGATAGATAGATAGATAGATAGATAGATAGATAGATAGATAGATATGGAAGAGACTGGGATAGATAGATAGATAGATAGATAGATAGATAGATAGATAGATAGATAGATAGATATGGAAGAGACTGAGATAGATAGATAGATAGATAGATAGATAGATAGATAGATAGATAGATAGATTAAAAGAAGAAAGTAATGTCAGACGAATGGGAAACATACTAATAATAATGAAGAAGAATAAGGAATAGATAGATAGATAGATAGATAGATAGATAGATAGATAGATAGATTAAAAGAAGAAAGTAATGTCAGACGAATGGGAAACATACTAATAATAATGAAGAAGAATGAGGAATAGATAGATAGATAGATAGATAGATAGATAGATAGATAGATAGATAGATAGATAGATAGATTAAAAGAAGAAAGTAATGTCAGACGAATGGGAAACATACTAATAATAATGAAGAAGAATGAGGAATAGATAGATAGATAGATAGATAGATAGATAGATAGATAGATAGATAGATTAAAAGAAAAAAGTAATATCAGAGGAATGGGAAACAGACTAATAATAATGAAGAAGAAGAAAGAGGAATAGATAGATAGATAGATAGATAGATAGATAGATAGATAGATAGATAGATAGATTTAAAAACAACTGACCAAGTACCACGTTTAAGCTCTTTTTTTTATTTAATTTTTGTGCTCTTATATTTTTCTTTCCTTTTCTGGACATAAGTTATATAGAAATTGTCCGAATGTTCTGTATGTTTCAGCGCTTCATAAAAAAAAAACAATATACCATAAGATGAACTATCAACACGGCCACAAAATTAAACTAATAAAACCTCTACGTACATACATAACAAATTATACATTCAGTTAAAAGTAAAAATAAAATCAGCCTTGATAATGGCTAAAAGGATAGCCGAAAGCAGACGAACATATAAAATATACAACATGATGTATACAGATGACAGTATTGATAGCAGACACAAAACCTGCAAGACCTCGTGAAATAAGTGCTTACCAACTGTTGCAAAAGACAGAATGTGTGGTTGTTATTCAAAGAAACAGATCAACACGCAAATGACAAACTAGAGTTACCATTGTAAAAATTTAAATCTCACACCATGAAATATATAGGTGCATATAATTGTAATAAATTTAATTAGCTTCAATTGATATGGCATATTTACATAAATATATCATTAAATATGCATACACGTGTACACACTCATATCCTCTCTCCCACCTCACTTCCTCACTTCGTTAACTTTGCGTATACTTGATGAGGTCCGTCAAAAACGTGTAAATTTCTTTTCATTTTTCATTTCAGCTTTTGGAAGTAAAGTCTGATCCAGAACCCCATGTAAAAGGGGGTTATGGTGAAATAACTTATTACATGGAATCTTAACGTGGTCTGTCTTTTATTCAAACATATCTGCTCTGAATTTTACATTGAGCTCTCTGGATGTCATCCTCCCGGGTCTACCCATACGGATTACCTAAGTTTAAATATAAACTATATATATATATATATATATATATATATATATATATATATCGAGAAAAATTATAATAAGAAGCAAGAGAATTTAATTTTCCATTTCGCTTATAATTTATTCGTGAACACCTAAGTGTACAACTCTTCAGATCGAAATCTACTTCGTAAATGAAGAAAAGACACCTGATGGACATATTAGATTGGTAGTGGAGAGGAAATGTGAGAGAGAAGAGATGGGTAAAGAAAGGGCTAAAGGATTAGTGGTTAGTAGTAGTCAGTTCACCCAGCCGAGAATTTATTCTATAACTGTGAGATTTTTTAAATTGGGTTGTATTTTATATTGACCGATAGGCTTTGTTGTTTTTAGGCGGGACAAACCAGTTTGATTCAGACTAATTAACAGTCAAATTAATAACAACTGGCTTCAATCGTGAAGTAAAGAGAGGCACAATTTTTCTTTAATAGGTCTTCTCGATCTAGGCCGGTTGTTATTAATTTCATTGTTTAAGAAAATAAAAAAATCAGAAATACCAACTTAAATATGTGTAGCTAATAAATATAACATTTATATATATATATATATATATATATATATATATATATATATATATATATATATATATATATATATAATGAAAACAGGCAACTTTTCAAGGGTCCATTGGTTTTATAATTTATTTCCTAGGTAATTTTTTTTTTCTGGGTCATAACGAGCTTTCAGGGAAAAAGAAATTCCCTGGTGAAATAAATTATAACCAATGGACCCTTAAAGTTTTCTTTTTTCATTGAATTAATCGCTTTGATTTAACATTTAGATCTCTGGATTTCATACACTTTTGGATTATCTGAACAGATTACCAAGATTTTCATTACTTATATATATATATATATATATATATATATATATATATATATATATATATATATATATATATAGTAAAAATCTAAAATTACCTCATATTGAAAATAGCCTATTTCGGCAGCCGAAGATATTGGCAGTATGTCTTATCAACCATGCCTTGGACTGTGTTTGTGTCTATACAGTTAAGGGGGCGTGAAATAGAATTTAACTGCAACAGTCCAAAGTTTCAGTCAGACGAATAGCACTAGACAGAGGTCAGGGGACTGATATAGGTATTTGTCATAAAGGGAAGAAGTGTTACTAAATGAAACACGAATATTAACCTTATGGTATTAATAGGGTTGTATGAAGAAGGAATTATCAATTTAAAATTAAAATATGAATAAAAAGGGGTTTAAAAATAAATTTTAAATAGAAAGAGTGTTGGTGATATATAAAGTAGTAAAATTTATAAATTATAATTAATATTATCTAAAGAGTTTATAGAGGAGAGAAATATAAAAATATATATAATTAGAATTAGTTATACTTTTGAAATTTGAAGAGTTAGAGGGGAGTGAATATTATGAAATTATAGTAAGTTAAAGCAATATTATGAAAATAGATTTTATGTTGACATATCCAGATCATGAACAATAATTAACCCAGTATATTTACATATTTGCCCCGATCCCTCAACCAGCATAACTAATTGATCTGAAGGTCCAGAAATAATCACGTGTATTAGCTTAAATACAGAACTTGACAATGAACCTATCGCTCATGTTTTCAATCTGATGGTCAAGTTTATGTATGGACGACACTGTATGTAACTATAGATCCAAACTTTTAGCAGGTAGTGGCGCTATGATAGTATGGGTTATATATATATATATATATATATATATATATATATATTGAGATATTGTTTCATTGAATAATTTAGACATATTTTGTTTACTTATTTTCAATTGCATCCTTTCAAATCCACGGAAAAGCTTTTTGGTGCCATTATTAAAGGAAGAGAGAAAATTACCGTGTTGATACATATTCTTTATTCCAAGTACTTTCGACATTAAAACAATGTCATCATAAGGGTGTTGTTTATTTGAAGACAAATATTGTAGTATTATTTTCAGAGACAAAATAGCTGCGTTCATCTGAAAGTTGTGTGCATTGCGATGACTTGAGTAACACTTCACGGGAGGTAACTGAGTCATGAGGTTGTCGAGAGTTTTTTTAATAATTATTAAAAACTATTCGTACAAAGCTCGATATTTTAAACTATTGTAAATAATTTAAAATACTTATGCATTATACATTTTATTAAGTTTTGGTTTCAATTTTTTATATAGATAACTTCAAGAATTTTTAGTTTATGTTTTAAAAAAAAACTATATACAGATGACAGTGTTGAAAAGAAATTCTAGGGACACTTAGAATATAAGTTTGCGGACAAGAGGGATACCCAAAGATGGGAATAATGAATTGGAGATGCCAATATCATGTAAATACGGAAATATAAATATTTGGTGTGTTTTTATAACAGAGGGAAGAACATGGTCAGGGAGCGATACCGTTGACAAATCTTGCTAAAAGCTGCACAGGGTGGAAACATAGAAAAAGAAGTCGCATACAGACTTAGTTCGCCTTTAGAAATAAAGACAAAATTTGAAGAAAAATGCTATAGATTTAAGTCATATTAATTAATGTCAAATTATCTCATTTTTGTACGGCTTCAATAATTCGAATTTCTATATTCATATATATTAACCAATCAGCGATGTCATATGAGACTTTGAAATTTCAGACAATTATGATTTGTTGTTTGCTATGAAATTTTGGAGGATCACTTTAAAATATGACAGGCAATGTTCCCTCGTTAAAATGGATATTCAAAAATTGGGAAAATATTTAATAACCAATAAACTTGAGATTAATACATCTATTTTTATTTTATTTATTTATTTATTTATTTATTATGGAGTTTCATTATAAAAGTTATCAGTTTTTTGTTCGCTAGTTAATTTTTCAGTTAACCTTTGACCAGGGGTCGTTTTTTTGTTATACAAAAATGAAATTCTCACACTAAACTAATTACTCACATTTTCGCATATTTATTCGTGTATATTATATTAAACAAAATGCTTAGCGATATTGAGATAAAAAAAAACATGTAGTCTAGGTTTTTGACGAGTGTCAACTGTAGTAAATCATCACAACCGCATATCGTGCGGCCGCCTGCTACAATTTATGCGCATACATAAAACAATGTACATCCGTGTCACACACATCCTCACATGTCGACTCATTCTGTTTTTTTTCAATACTGTCATAATTCATTCGGTTGCACTGTAAAAATGATGCATAAAATATTTTGTGCGAGGTTGATGAGTAAAGAATCTTTGTAATTCATTTTTTTCAGTTTGAAAGAAAAACAATACTCAAATAATAAAAAACATATTTAATTTTTTTGAGCCGTGTTGGAGATTCGTTTATTTCTTCGCTTTATCTGCGCTTATTACGCTACACACATATATAAATTTACGATCACTACTGATGCATTCAATAATATGTTGTTTCTACACAAGTAAACAAAATTTCTGTTTTGTTGCAGTATTTAAATAGTATCTTCAAATGAACTATTTCCCATGCTTGTCATTTGGGATTTGAATGATACGCACCATCACAAAGATTTGTTGTCTGGCGTATGACGATAAACTACATCCGCGTCTGGGTAAGACGATAAACTACATCCGCGTCCTAGGTATGACGATAAACTGGATCCGCGACCTGGGTATGACGATAAACTACATCCGCGTCCCGGGTAAGACGATAAGCTACATCCACGACCTGGGTATGACGATAAACTATGTCCGTGTCCTGGATGAAATGATAAACTATATCTGACAGCAAGGCCTCTGATCGAGCAAGCGGGGGAGTGGGGAGGAGTGTGTAATTGCTGGTGTTCCCAGGTCCACCCTGAGCCAGGGTGGTAGCAACTGTGATGGTCCCAGCTATGGGCAAATTTTTATGAAGGTCAAAACACTATAGAAGTATAAAAATAGATTTTAATAACAGTAATACTTTTTTCGAAAATTCTTTACTAGCAATACATTTTTGAAAAAAAATATTACCAGCAACACATTTAAAAAAATATTACCAGCAAAACATTTTTTGTAAAAAATATTACCAGCAATACATTTCAAAAAAAATATTACCAAAAATATTTTTGAAAAAAATAAAAAAACATTTTTTAAAACAATATTTCCAGCAATACATTTTTGAAAAAAATATCACCAACAATAGAAATCTTGTGAACTTAAATGACCCCTTGAAGTTGATATACCGTAGAACAAACCAAATCAAACTATGATCTGATGTCCGTTGCTAAAACTATTGACAATTAATTATTTCGTTCTTTTCCTGTTAATTTAACTTGGTTATTCTGAAATTAATTTTATACTGGACATTCATTTTGGTTGGAGAAGGCTACAAGAGAAAAACTGGAGGAAATAATTCACTACAGGAAATTAGAATGTCCATATCAATATTCAATGCCAATGGATCATATGAATCTGGTTGCAAACAAAATCCAGCCAATGACAAGGATAAAATGGCATTTATAAAAATAGTGGCACAGTGAAAATTATTCGGAGATGCAGGACCAAATTTCGCATGCGGGCGCGAATAAAATTTGATTAGCAATTTGAGCCCCAATCTTAGATAGTTTTTTGTCGCCAGTTTTCGTGTATTACCAGAGATTGTCACATTAAACTTGGCCCTTTGACACATGCCGTTAGTTGCTTGTCTTTGTTTAGTGGCATATCAACGCCTCTATGGCTTATTAATGTTGAAATCTAAATATTTTGTATGCATTTTTTTTTTTAGATAATAATCGTTTTTATGATATAAGTCTTACTAATTAACCCATAGCTGGGAGGAAAAATGAAATCATAATTTTCCCAATGGTATTTACGCGTAAGTGAATATAAACCAACTGGAATTGGAAACTCCGAACTAATATCCATTACACCACCTGCGCATCCAAGTTTTCAGCACCTGGTATTCCCAAGCGGTCGCCCATCTAAGTACAGACCAGACTCGACATGGCTTAACTTCGGTGATCGTACAGGAACTAATGTTTCAGCGAGAAGGGGCCGTAAGCCTATTCCGTTTGTCAGGCCTTGTAGCTAAATACCTATATATAATGATTTGTTTTCCATTGAAAGCATTTCTTTAACTTATAACCAGATTAAAAAAAAAAGAAGATAGTTAACCCCCAAAACTCATTGTACATTAATCTTTTTTGGTTGATGATTTCATTCATCGGAAACAACGTTTTCCATTATGAACCCTGTCTGAAAGTATAAATTAGGGGAATTTGATATTACACTTTTTAGAGAATCAATATTGCACACAATGTGGAAGCTGGGGTTTGATGTAATACGTATTTCCAGCAAAATTACAAATAAGTTTTACTAATATTTTAGTATTTAGTTTGTTTGAATGTTCGTCTGGAAAAATGTACCGAATTCCTGCAGGTTTTTGTTTAAGAACTGACTTCAAAATGTTAATATTTCAAGAATAAATCCAAATAAGTTTGGTAACTTTTGTATTAGATACATTGAATGGAAAATATATTCAAACCACAATTCTAATTACGAATCTCCATACGCAAAATATGCGATGTTTTTCTGTATTCGATTAGTCAGCACTGGATAAAAAAATTGTCAAAGATTACAAAAAATATCTACTCAATGAATAAGATTTGTTAGATCATGTGTAAGATCATAATTAATAAAACCAAAAAATAGATAAAAGTGTATATAACACCATAATACTACTGGGTACATATAAGATTATTATAATTATTAAATTTCCGATGTTTATTGAAAATCACATTAAAACTACTGTACTGTATAACATATTACATCATTGTATAGCTAAATCGTTCAGTTGAATTTCCCTTTGAAGTAAATGAAGGATTATTTGATGGCACAATAATTTCGTAATAATGTGCTTGTGCCATGCAACTTGTCCATTTATAATGTGTAAAGCTTCAAAAAAGTATACATATTATAATGTTGTGCTATAAGGCTTTCATTGATCAGCGGAATGAAATTGCAACGCTACGATATTTAACTTAAACTAAATCTTCAAACACATTTCTAGTAAAAAATGCTCAGGACTTGAAAAAAAATATTCTGTATCCTTATTCATCATGTCACAACCAACTTTCAAATTCCATAAATGGCCTACCCAAGTCTGCATCCTACATTCTTTTCTATTCTTTGATTTTCTTTTTCTTTTTTCTAATTTGTGTTCCTATTTTTGGGGGTCTAATTTATTATTCTGTATTTCTCTTAGATTTTTCACCTTTCCATCGCAACATCATCTGCAAGATGATCGGTTTTAATCAAACTAATTGACAAACACCCTAAATCAATTGTCGATTTATGTCCACCAACAGTCAAGATACTCGAGTCACCTTTTAATGGCGAGGGATTTAAGATAGCTGGGCTTATATTTAGAGACAAAGGGTTTGTAAAATTCAATTTTTCACAGTTTTCTCACACTAAATGAACATTTGTGAAAAACAAGGTTAATAAAAATCTTTAATTTTAATAAGTCATAAGTAAATAGAATATGGCAGAAAGCAGACGACATATAAAAAATGGTTGATGAAGAAATGAAGAAAATAAAAAAAAAAATGGGGAAGATTTCAAACGAAACTAAAAGGTTGCAAGAAAACAGATTTTTAAAAGTCTATAGTAAAATATAAATTTAAAAGTAGGGGATAGAATGAGATTCGTACGATTTAACAGTGTCCAAAACAAATGACTGAAAGAACAGACATGCGCAGTTTGGGAAACTGACAACTGTTAAACGGGAAGCGGATTGATTTTTTTTTTTTTTTCAGAGAAAAGAAAGAAAAATCTGAAATAGAATCCAATGAAATATTGGAGGCGTGGTAATGCTCTCGGAAAACTACTTAGTAATTCAGGCCGACGTGCAACAAACAGAACGCAAATAATTGTACATAGAAAAGACGGATAAAAAGGATTGAAGTATTACGATGAAAAGGAATAACGGATGGAATTTTAAAGGGTATCATACCATGATTTGCAAGCTGTAAGCGCGCATTTTTCATTCCTATCTACTTATTCTTTCATTTCTTTCGTGCTGTGTGTCTTCTATGGCTTATATTCAGCGTATTTCCTCATGCATATATCGGATGGGTTGATGAAACGTTTTCGAGTCGCCCGAAAACTCTTCCCTACAAAATAAAGATATGTGCGAATATTGGAAACTGATTAAGACAAAAATATTTTCAGTATTCCGACGTATATATTTTTTTTAATTATTCAACCCTAAGCAAGGCAATAAATCTACTAAGACGCAAGAAGAAGAAAATCATTTTAAAGGATAGAGAAAAATAAAAAGAGCAGGATCAAGAAGACAGTAGAGAACAATTGACATTGCATTTAGATTTTTGAAGGTCAACATTGGTGGGAATAGAGTTCCACACGCGAGAAGTGCGATAGAAGAAATTGTTAGCATAGGAGATACGTCCATATCTAGGCAATTTAACTATAAAAATACTGGGATCTTTTTACCAATCTATAAATGCATTTAAATTCATAAGATCTAGGTAATATAGAGGAAGGTTCCTCAGAACAATTATAATCAAATTACTTATAGAAAAGGCACAGGGAAGCTACATTACGACGATGGAAAAGTGAATGAATTCGAGATGCCAGATCAAGACTAATAAGATTGCATATTCTTTGGATTTTATCAAGAATTTCTAAATATATATTTGGAGTAACAGGCGATATGGAGAAAATTTTCGATGCAAGGACGATTTATAAATATGCAAGTTAAATTATGGCTCAATAGATTGAGTAGCACAACACACTTAACTAAGTTCCCTAGTAGAATATCAAAGCAGTTGATTCAATATACAGTGTAACCCCTATATAAGAGAAACCCGGATATAAGAGAAACCCGGATATAAGAGTGATTTTCTCCGGTCCCAAATTAGAGCCTGTGTTAATGTATATATAATAGACCAAACCCAGATATAAGAGAAACCCGGATATAAGAGTGATTTTCTCTGGTCCCAAATTAGAGCCTGTGTTAATGAATATAAAATAGACCAAACCCGGATATAAGAGAAACCCGGATATAAGAGAGATTTTCTCTGGTCCCAAATTAGAGCCTGTGTTAATGGATATAAAATAGACCAAACCCGGATATAAGAGAAACCCGTATATAAGAGAGATTTTCTCTGGTCCCAAATTAGAGCCTGTGTTAATGTATATAGAATAGGCCAAACCCGGATATAAGAGAAACCCGGATTTAAGAGAGATTTTCTCTGGTCCGAAATTAGAGCCTGTGTTAATGTATATAAAATAGACCAAACCCGGATATAAGAGAAACCCGGATATAAGAGACTTCTTCTCCGGTCCCGACAACTCTCTTACATCCGGGTTATACTGTATATGCAATCTACTCCATGTCAGCAGAGACTATTAACTTACAAAGGCTCAATGAGTTATTTTTTTCAAGAAGTTAGTACCAGCCATGTTGATGAATGACAGAAACGGGCGTCTGAAATCTTTAACGCGAAGCAGTTTCGTTGTGGAGGCATTACAATTAACAAGCCATTCCTTGTCCCCAAGTTACAACAGATTGTTAGTCATTTCTTAGATCAACGGCCAATTTGACATTATCGAGCCGCACAGACATACTATCAAGTCAGTATAAATACAAAGTTGAAAACTGAGGAAGATCTTTGATGAAAATTAGTAGGTGCAAGGATGGAGCCCTATGGGACACATTCATTAAAGCATTACCTGCCATGAGCCCCGTTTGTGTATCTATTAAAATTAAACTCACTACATGTTGTTCCTTGTATTTACATTGAATTTCTTACATGCATTGTATTTGCAGAGGTATATTTTGCAAGACTTAGCCTTTAAAGTTTTTATTATTAGCCGTAAGAAGACATCTTCTGTCGTAATTTTACATTTCACGAGTAGAAAAATAATGACTATTTTGAAAAGTATTTTTTTTTATTATTTTTAATCAAAATTATTTTTGGATGTATTATACGCTTATACAGTGTAACCCGGATATAAGAGAGTTGTCGGGAACGGAGAAGAAGTCTCTTATATCCGGGTTTCTCTTATATCCGGGTTTGGTCTATTTTGCTTAGGTAAGTATGGGAACACTTTGGGATCAGAGAAAATCTCTCTTATATCCGTGTTTCTCTTATATCCGGGTCTCTTATATCCGGGTCTCTTATATCCGGGTTACACTGTATATTTCATTTTCTAGTTTCTATAAAAACGATAATGGTAACTACTGAAATTAAACATAAGGAATAAATAAACTCCTAAGATAACTGTTTGTGCCAAAAATGCGCATTAAATAAAAAATTGGCTGTTAATAGGTTAATAACGAACTAATCCAACTACATTGTCTAAATACCCAAAATATTATCTATAAAACTCAAATAATAAGCCACCTATTTCAAATTTAAACATAGAGCCATGATGATGGTTGACGATAACCGAAAAGTCTCGGAGAAATACCATGGACTAGAAAGAACGGAAGCAACTGAAGATTGTAGACTTTAACCCATTACCTGCCATGAGCCCAATTTGGGGATCTGTTAAAATTAAACTCACTACATGTTATTCCTTGTATTTACATTGAATTTCTTACAGGCATTGTATTTGCAGAGGTATATTTTACAAGACTTAGCCTTTAAAGTTTTTATTATTAGCCGCAAGAAGACATTTTCTGTCGTAATTTTACATTTCACGAGTAGAAAAATAATGACTATTTTGAAAAGTATTTTTTTTTATTATTTTTAATCAAAATTATTTTTTGATGTTTTATACGCATATATATTTGATTTTCTAGTTTCTATAAAAACGATAATGGTAACTACTGAAATTAAACATAATGAATAAATAATTTCCTAAATCACCTGTCATGGCCAAAAAACATGCGGATTAAACAAATTTGGCAGTTAATGGGTTAAGGTGACATGTTCTAGAAATGTGGCCGATCCGGACAAATTTCATTTCACGATCAGAAAGAGTTCAGAAATTTGACCCCAAATTCTACAACCTTTGAACTTGTGAAGAATACCTGTATGCCAGACCCTGACAAATAATTTTGAAATGTTCAAAGAAAAATCCCGTGCTTCACTATTCTTATCTAAATATTGATAGAATATTTTAATATTTAATACATCAGGTGACCTAGAGAAGCGAAAGCCATATTGCTACTGTGAAAGAAAATTCTGTGATGTGGGATGTGTTATTCATAATGACGGTCGTCTTCGTGTATAGAATCCAGAGGTTAGCAGTGAATATTTCGAAGACAGTAGGAAAGCGTAGTTCAGGTTAGCAGTGGATATTTTGGTAAAATGTGACGTCGTCCCCCCTGGTCGCAACGTCGACTGTGTCGTTCGATCCCGTTCGCGGCGCCAGCTGTTCGCTCCTCGCTGCTCCAAGTGTGACGTTCTAACCCTTTGGTTAGATGAATACCAACCTCGTCGTTCCCAACCCGCTTCCAACGCCTGGTTACCAGGGTAACTGCACTGATCTCCGGTCTGCCTACCCACGTTGTGATTAGATCTTAGACAGACGGGATAAAATAGGGATTGGGCCGTATGCAAGCTGAGTCCAACGGGGGAATAACACAAGAAAAATAAAAACTCACAAGGTCAAAAATATTGAAGAAAAAGGTAACAACTTTTTATATCTAATTACTTGGTACACAAGATTATTCCTACCTCCCGACCCGTTCTGTGGACTGTGGCACCACGCTTCTACCAGGCAACTTTAAGGCTTCGAGTTGCCTGCTCTCTAGAAATTTGCATTTCGGGGTGTGGTTTGGTTTCAACACGGGGCGCTCATCTCTGCTTGTCTTTCACGGCTGATCTCTCTCGCCGTCCGCGGCGCAAAAAAACTGATCTCTGTCGGTTGGGGTCCCGCTTTTATTGACGCAGTCAAAAACCGGGGTGAGTCTGTCGGCGCCAGGGTTTTCTTGATAATTCTAAATACGTATCCACCCTTCTTATTTCTGATTAGGGATTTTCCATTTTCGGTAACTTACTTTCACTCCTACTTCCTTATTGTGTCTCTGAGGGCGTATACCCGCTTCCCCGCTCCTTCGTATGTCATGTGACCGCTCTCGGACAATGCGGTCCTGGTCGGGTGTCTTTCCTCCTCCTTCGTGCGCCACGTGATCCCATCTAGCCAATGGCGTCTTTAGTCGGGCGTGGACAATCCGTGGCTTTGTTCTGGGGGAAGAAACAGCTTGCTTAAAAAAACAAAAATTTAAATTGCCCTTTTCGTACGTGACCGAAATGACGCTCTCGGTTTCTTTTACACGCGGTATTTGTCAAACAGTTTATCGCTAATTGGATACGATCTAAGAAAGGGATTTCCCAAACTGGGTGGCGTTTTCGTGAACTAATAAAAATATTTCACTTTTTCTTTCGCTCGAAGTTTGATAACAAATATCTTAATTATCTCAAAAAACATTTTCAGCCAACATCATCTTGTGTGGCTTTATTTTCAATTCTGGAATTGTCTGGGTTTTCGTATTAATGGTTTGCCTGCATATCCTTAGATACACTTCCGCAACCCCTTAGACTTTTACTATCATCTCAATGACACCCTTTTCATTTGTTACTTATCAATATTTTTTTTCATTGTCCCTAAAATTCGTTTCTCCAACCAACTGATAACAACTTCCATCTTTCGCGGATTTCGGTCAGGTACTTTGACCTAGATACCTTTTGACACCTGTTATGTGTCAGCTGAGCGTGTTTGTGCTCGATTATGACCTGTTTTCGTATTATTATTTTTTTCTTTCTCTTTCTTCTTTTTCGTTTTCTATTTCCTTCTTCCAGATCGCTTGAACGTAAAGAAAGAATTATTCTTAAAACCCGGAGTATTTTTTTTGGCCCTAAATAATTATTAAATGGGTGATAACCCGTAAAAAACAAATCATATATTTATGCATATTTCTTTTCAGCTCGCTACGATGCATGGTGCCACATTAGGTAGCAGAGCATAGTTCGTCCTTCTGGTTCTCTTCGCCTGACAAACTGGACTGGACATTCGGATAGAGTAGACAAAAATGGCCGCCTTTATATACGACGGATTGAATGTTCTACGTCTTCTGATTGGTTAACATTCTATTGGTAGACAATAAAGCGAGTCAAGGAATTTGGACTAACTCACTAGTTATATATATACATACATATACACAAAAAAACTGTAACAGGATGCGTAAACAATTCAGTGCTGATTATGGCTTCTAGTAGCTTGCCAAAAAAAGAGGTCAAACGTTAATAGACCAATAGAAGAATAAGGCGGTTCGTCTAAGATATTAAAAACTGTAACATCAGAAGAGAATTTCCAAACATAATGGAAATCAAGAAGCAGCCAAGCTTTTATTGTAGGGTGTTTAAAGAATAGGGGCCAGTTCAGGAGCACATTTCTTTAGGACTATTGCAAGGAAGCCATCCGGTCGACGTGCATTTAGGGGATGCAGTTTAGAGATGATAGTTGTGTATTTGGGCAGCAATCCCTCTTTTATACAGGTTTCCTTGAAGAAGACTGACGGCATGACGATAAAGCCTTTTTACATAATATTCTTGCATTTGCAAGTGATTAATTTTCTGGGCAAAGAGTGAGTATAAAGTGTCACAATAATGTTTGGAACGGATCGTTTTGGACTAATCTATTAGCTGTAATGTTTGTTTTTATCTTCTGCTAAGATTTTTAAATATCATCTACATAGAAGATATACTTTGCAGTATTTGTAACTTTTTCCAATAGTTTAGTATGTAGGTATTCTATATTTATGGAGATAGATAGATAGATAGATAGATAGATAGATAGATGACGGTCTTATTGGAGGAATTTTAGCTATAATGTTTGTTTTTATTTTCGGTTAAGATTTTAAAAATCATGTACATATTGGATATACATTGCAGTATTTGTAACTTTTTCAAATATTTTAGTTTGCAGGTATTCTATATTAATTGAGATAGATAGATAAGAATTAATGAACATATTGACATATATTAATAGAGAGATAGATAGATAAATAGATAGATAGATGAACAGAGTGAGATAGATAGATAGATAGATAAGAATTGATGAACATATTGAGATAGATAGATAGATAGATAGATAGATAGATAGATAGATAGATAGATAAGAGAAATTAAATCCAATAATAATATCAAATAAATCATTTTGACATTATAAGCCAGCAGAATGTTTTACTTAGCTACAAAGGAAGATGCTTATCCCAACTGTCTATAGCAGGTTATAAGTGCATGCCCTATTTTAAAGAATGTGATTGGGCTCCCATCCCTGTCTCAGAATACATCCATTAGCCTCCTCAGTGTCATTAGCAATTTTTTTGAAATTATAATCAACAAGAAGTCTTTTGATTATTTGAGAGACAAATAGTACAATTATCGATTGTCTCAGTCCACTGCTGATGTCCTGTCATTACTTAAGGAATCAGTGAAACACAAGACAACAAATACAACTCAGGGCTGATCGCATTAGATATTTCAAAGGCCATTGACAATGTGTGGAATAAAGGGTTACTACACAATCACTTTAGATAGGGAATCACTGCAAGAGAATTAACAAGGGTAAGTCCTGGAAGTTATTTGTTAACGGCCAGCCGAACTCGCTTCTTGGTCCAAAGGTTTTTCTACCAGTCTACTGAATATGGATGCTCATCCACGACTCTAGATAACCAGATTGTGTCAGTTAATCGCTCCTCTGACCTAGCTTAAACAGTTTGGTGGGGAAAAGAATTGGTTGGTCCGAAAACCCAATTGGTGACGATTCGTCATCACCGTACAGGGGTCACAATGAACGGGTGTACTCTCAGGTAGTACTTGAGTGCCTATTGGGACTTTACCTCATCATCATCATCATCATCCTGCGGCCTCAGCCGAGATTGAACTCACTACACTTTTCCAGTATTCCTTATCTGCCATAGCTAATACTTTGATTGGTGTAGTTCATAATCTTGTCAAATAGCTGAATTCTTGATGCTTCACTAGGGTTATCAAGGGTATTTTTATCGTGACACCATCACTAAATGGATTGCCATCCAAGGCTCAGAGAGACTCCATTCACCCTCCGCAGGTTTTGAATTCAGAGTTTTCCTTCTCCTAGACCAGTTGCCATCCAAGGCTATAGAACCCAGTCTGTCCTGCTATTTTACCCATAGCTGGAAGGAGAAGAAGAGACCAGACCTAAACTGGAAATAATACATAGGATTCATCGCTAAAATACTGAAAAAATGGCCGATTCCCTGTACTACTTCAGTAACTGCGACACTGAGATCCGTAGACGTACTGGGAGTGCCATGGACACATACCAAAAGCTAGACAGACTATTGCTAGACAGGAGGATTTCTTTGGTAACAAATAAAAGAATACTGAGCTGTTACGTGACATCTGCCCTTCTTTACGGCATGTTGCATGATTTCCTCAAAGACGAAGAAGAGACTCGAGGCGACGGAGATGTGGTTCTACAGAAGGATGCTAAGGATATCATGGACCGAGCGTGTGATCAACGATGAGATTTTAGGTTGAAAACAAGGATCAGGCTTATACTTAATATCAGGAAGAGGCAGCTGAAGTTTCTGGGACACATAATGAGAAAGGAGGGCCTGGAGAAACTGATACTCACAGGTCGAATAGAGGGAAAGAGACACAAGGGAAAGAAGCGCGTGACATTCCTGGCGGACTTAAGCAAGAGGATGACAGAACGTGGTCTGAGGGGGATGGCAGAGGGAAGGAACATGTTGAGAGCAGCAAGGTTTAGAGAGAGGTGGAGAGCCATGATCGGCTATGTCCTGAAATGACATGGCACATAAAAAGAAAGATGTGCCGTTTTCCTCTTTATCTGTTACCTGCAAAATATTCTGGGAGTGTCAAATTGTCTAAACACGTTTTCCTTATTGTCTTAGAAATTTTAAATGTTCCTTACTCAATATATTTACTATGTATTCCCACTATCAACTAAATGGAAGCCAGTCTACTCTATCGGCTAGCTAATCCCCAGTGCAGACGCCTGCTCAGGTATATATATATGTGTTGTTCAACATCCACAGAGCCAACCAGTGGAACTTGTTGAGAGCTGCAAGGGATAAAGAGAGGTGGAGAACCATGATCGCCTACGTCCTGAAAGGAGATGGCACATCAAAAGAAAGGAAGAAGTATCTGACTTGCTATTCTTTATCTTTACAAGAGTCGGATCAGGCCAAATATTGAGATACTACTGCCATATATGGACAGGACCTGTGTAAAACGATAAACTACATCCAACAGCAAGGCCTCTGTTCGAAAAGTTTTGAGGAACGTGGAACCACTCGTTAATTGCTGGCGTTTCCAACTCCACACTGGTACGGGGTGGTAACACCTTTTAGGGTCCCAGCTATGGGCAAATAGTTAACCCCCAAACTGGGATCAAAACACATGTAAGTGTAAAAATAAGTCTTATACTTTTGTAAATAAATATTACCAGTAATTAATTTTTGAAGAAAATAAATATTAACAGCAATATATATTTGAAAAAAAAATACTACTAGCAATAGACTATTTACATTATTCGGACTATTGTGCTCATCTTTGTTGCCATATTTATCACAACGTTTCGGCCGTTGTTCGCTATGGCCTTCTTCAGATGGTTGGAATGTTTAACTGAACGGCCGGAACGTTGTGATAAATATGGCAACAAAGATCAGGACAATAGTCCGAATAATATAAATAGTGTACATAATACTTCATCTCAGAAATATACAGGTACTCTCAATACGTTTTTGAAAAATATTACCAGCAATAAAAAATCTTGTCGGTATTAAATAGCCCATTGATTTTGATATGCCGTAAATCAAACCAAACCAAACCAAACCCGATCACTAGGATTTTAACCTGTTTAAGTCTAGTTTTAACCGTTATCTTCCCACATATCCCCATAAATTGCTAGTCACCCTCGAGTGGCTCTTGGGCCTTGTACAGTTTTAACATCAATGTAAAAAAGATAGATAGATAGATAGATAGATCGACAGATAGATTGTAACAGATTGTAAATGGAAATAGTGGATAACCAGGTGTAAAATTTTCTAAATCGATTATCAGAAATATTTTCCATTTGTTAGATTAAGATTTAAACCGTTGTATCCAAGAAATGATTAAAGATATCTTACTGGAATTCTCTGAGCTTTTATAACACTACTTGACTCTATTTTGAACAATAAGAAGGTATTTAGCTATAAGTTGAAATGATGATCCCTCTTACCTTTGTGACCTCCTGATCCAGTTTTCCTCCCTACTGTTCCCTCTTTTTTAAACTTATTCACCGTAATCTTGATGGTTCTTGAATTGACTTTGAAGATGGAAGCTAGAATATGAAAGTTGCTACGATTACTGAAGGCCTGAATAATATTTTTCCTCTCACCATTGCTCAGTTGGGATGACATAGTTGGGCTGACACAAAACGATTCTCTTTCTAGCTGAATAACTCAGAGGGTTTTTTTTTCAGTGATTTTTACGACAAATGGTATTGAAATGGCTGAATGTCTTATCTGAAAATCTGGAAAAAAAGGGACTCATTTAGTTTAGTGCTTTTTAGATATTAAACATTTTTTGGGGGGGCGGACAATTATCCCATGTTGTTACAAGATTTGGACAATTTTGCTGTTACACCCGGTATATCAGTGCAAAACGAATAAGATTGTGCAGCGCCAATTTCCCATTGAAAATAAATACGTTCATATCTAATACCCAGATATCTGAAGTTGGCTTTCTCTGCAAACACTCGGTAGAGATATCCCCCATGTGGTCAACTGTAAATTCGGGCTGAACACAAAATGCCGTCACTCAGTCTTACATTCGATTTGTCGCCGTTTATGGCGGACTATAAACCTGAATTCTCCCCGCAAATTCTAAAGCATTAATTTATTTATTAGTTATGTTGGAACGAAATGGATGCGACTAATTTCCCCTTTCTCTGTTTCTGTAATTATCTGTTCTTCTATTTCTCTGTGGAGCTTTTTCCTTCTTTCTCTCACGTCATTTCTTTCTTTCTTTCTTTCTTTCTTTCTTTCTTTCTTTCTTTCTTTCTTTCTTGTTTCCTGGCTTGCTTTCCATTAATGCGAGTCTTCTGCATTTCTTTTTTCCCCCGCAGTGTGGGTTTCTTTTTCTTTCTTTCTTTCTTTCTTTCTTTCTTTCTTTCTTTCTTTCTTTCTTTCTTTCTTTCCTTTCCTTCTTTGTTTTTTCTTTCTTTCTTTCTTTCTTTCTTTCTTTCTTTCTTTCTGTTTATTCATTAAATATTTAATTTATTGATTTCATTTACTGGTATTGGACACCTCGACGTGGAATAATGTTTCACAAGCTTGTTTCACAATGGCAATTACGACAGAGTTGTGACTTGGATCCTCACGAAGTGTCCCATATACTCGGCCTTGTGCCACATCTAAACTACGCAAAAAAATCATAATTTTATATTTCTTTCGTTCTCCCGTGTGACTGCACTTACTTTAAGACTTTCTTCTTTCTTTATACTGTCCGCTTTTTTCTTCTCTTTTATTCATACCTAGATATGTATTCTTTTCTTCTTTCTTTCTTTCTTTCTTTCTTTCTTTCTTTCTTTCTTTCTTTCTTTCTGTCTCCCGCCCACTTTTTCCTTCCTTCTTTCCATCCCACCATCTGTTTTCTTTCTTTCATTCTTTCTCTTTCTCTTTCTTTCATTCTTTATTTATTCTCCTGCTGACATTTTTCTTTCCTTTTGACCATCCCAACATCTGTCTTCTTCATTCATTTTCTTTCTTTCTTTCTTTCTTTCTTTCTTTCTTTCTTTCTTTCTTTCTTTCTTTCCATCCCAACATCTGTCATCTTAGTTTTTCTTTTTTGTTTGTTTGTTTGTTTGTTTGTTTCTTTGTTTCTTTCTTTCTTTCTTTCTTTCTTTCTTTCTTTCTTTCTTTCTTTCTTTCTCCCGCCTACATTTACCTTTCCACCTGTCCTTCCCGAATTATTTACCATTCTCTAACCTCACTGTCACAGGTGGAATGTGGAAAGCGCCATCCTGCACTGTCGCTACTTCCATGGAAAGTGCTCGGATGAACACCATTCCTTGCCTCCGGCAATTCTAACCTTCTCGGCAAGAACCTGCCATGTTACTTACAGTGTAGCACACACCCACCCATATTCCCTCTGTATTCTATTGTTGAGAAGTAAATTCCACACGAACTCTATTGCAGCACTATTGGATCGACTCCCAATAGGTTCTTTCCACGTTCACAACAGTCTTAACTTGTTCCAGTGTGGGGTTACCCGTTGTCTTCCTCTCCATCCTAAAGTAACCCTATAACACGAGGGCCCCCCACATGCCTTATATAGTGTGAATCTTACTGTAAAATATCTCCATAAAATATCTGACCATCTAAAAATATTTTACATGCAAACTGTTGATAATCCGTAGAAAATGAATCAGTCATATCATATCTTTTTCAGTGTGTTTCTTTCTTTCTTTCTTTCTTTCTTTCTTCATCTCTTCTTATCTATCTATCTATCTATCTATCTATCTATCTATCTATCTATCTATCTATCTATCAACTCCTTTTCCTGCCCCTTCTTCTTCATATTATTATTATTATTATTATTATTATTATTATTATTATTATTATTATTTTCCTTGATTTCTGGCGTTTACACATTTCTTTCCGGGTCCCGCCCAGGGACCTTAAGGTTAGAAATGGCGTCATGACACTTTCCACTGACAAAAAAAAAAAAAATGATTACATAGATAAAGCCCTTCCTAAGGTGTGGGCTGTACTTGTCAGAACAATTTTCTGTATCTCCTTGAGGCATGGACTTCCAGGAATCCTTCAATTAGTCTACTGAATCTTTTTCCAACCAGTCCTAGGGCTCCAACTACAACAGGGATTGTTGATGTTCCCATATGCCACATTTTCGAGATTTCTATTTCAAGTTCCTCGTACTTTGACAACTTTTTGAATATCTTCAAAGATACATTGCAGTCAGCAGGGACTGCCATATCAATAAGGAGACACTTTATTTTGTTTGTGGTCATTAATAACAATATCTGGCCGGTTGGCCTTGATTGATCTGTCAGTGTGTATTGTGTAGTCCCATAGAATTGTAACAGATCCTATCTCCGTAACCGGGTCTGGGTGATGTTCATTCCAGTTTCTTTCAGTTTCCTTCCCGTAGAATTATTATTATTATTATTATTATTATTATTATTATTATTATTATTATATTTCCTCCGACAATACATTTCTGGTTTGATTGGTCTATCTATCTATCTATCTATCTATCTATCTATCTATCTATATATATATATATATATATATATATATATATAGATAGATAGATAGATAGATAGATAGATAGATAGATAAAAATTTTTATTTATTTTTTGTTTCTATATAATTCCGTCCGTATTGATACTTTATATAGCTGGTGGCACAATCAAATCATAGAGATAACTTATTAGAAGTATTATTATTACATATGACTATAATTATACATCTTCTGTCCTTCATCTTTCCCTCGGAAGGTCAGAAAACAACAAAAATGGAGGCAGTAGTGTGAATGATACTTGGAATAATGAAAATATTTCATGTTAGAATTTCAGAAAACAACAAAAATGAAGACTATACTCTCTATAATATATAGAACAATGAAATGACTTCATGTTAGAAATTCAAAAGGCAACAAAGATGAGGACTATACTCTCTATAATATATAGAACAATGAAATGACTTCATGTTAGAAATTCAAAAGGCAACAAAGATGAGGACTATACTCTCTATAATATATAGAACAATGAAAAGACTTCATGTTAGAAATTCAAAAGCCAACAATGATGAAGACTATACTCTCTATAATATATAGAACAATGAAAAGACTTCATGTTAGAAATTCAAAAGGCAACAATGATGAAGACTATACTCTCTAAAATATATAGAACAATGAAAAGACTACATGTTAGAAATTCAAAATGCAAGAATGATGAAGACTATACTCTCTAAAATATATAGAACAATGAAAAGACTACATGTTAGAAATTCAAAAGGCAACAATGATGAAGACTATACTCTCTGTAATATATAGAACAATGAAAAGACTTCATGTTAGAAATTCAAAAGCCAACAATGATGAAGACTATACTCTCTGTAATATATAGAACAATGAAAAGACTACATGTTAGAAATTCAAAAGGCAACAATGATGAAGACTATACTCTCTATAATATATAGAACAATGAAAAGACTACATGTTAGAAATTCAAAAGGCAACAATGATGAAGACTATACTCTCTAAAATATATAGAACAATGAAAAGACTTCATGTGAGAAATTCAGAGGTTAACAAAGATGAAGTCAATAATTTCTATAATATATGAATTATTAAACAAGCATTTTCTTATAACTACTGAAAGTAAAAATATGGTGACAGTAATCCCTATATTATAGAGAATACTGGATCAGTTATTCATGAAGGCACGTTACGCCTGTTTCTTTTTTATTTATTTTCACACACACACAATTTCCTCGTTTCATCTTATAGCCCCGTTCTTCGAGGTCATTTACCCAAACGACTTTATTCTATTGAATTATCGTCATTCTGAACTTTGGTATACATTGCTTTTTGTTTAAATGTACATTAATCACTTTTGTCTTAATTAGAGCCGTTTTAATTTCATTTGCACGTGGTTTCTGGAAAGATTTCCTTGTGCAAGTGTTCTTTCATTTTCTGTTTCACTTGTAGATTAAACGTTAAACAGGGGCTGACAGCTGCTATCGATATAGTTAGCAGCAGATGAATAAAAGTTTAGCAGGCAAAGACCAATGGAGATTGTGAAAGAGGTTGCACACTAATGACTGGGAAAATGCGTAAAGTGAATATATATATAT